TCCCTCTCAAAGTAAATCTCATAGATCCTATCTTTTTTAGACAGATTTTTCAATGCATGGGGCTTCTTAAAACAAAGAACAAGATTCTCTTTTTCTCTGTGTCTGTAGATCTTGTACTAGATGGCTAAAAAGATAAGAAAAATGTGGGTTTGATTGGGGGTTGCTAATGCTGTCTGAAAAGACTGAAAAGAGAGAGCATATTAATTAAATTTGATTAATTATTTTACAAACATAAATATTTGGAACCTAGCTCTGAAGCGTTCCATGTAGCTGTGTCTCACAAACACAAGTCTTTGTTTCATTGCGTGTATAAAACAGACAAACAAAGTGACATTCAAATGTTTCATTCTTTTCTCATCTTTGTCGTCTGCAGTACTCAAAAATATGGTTGGTCTGTGGGCAAATCATCATCCCCAAAATCTTTAATAACCCTCCTCAATTTTAATGAATTTAAGAGTTGAAAAGTCGAAATTTGTATAATTTTATGTTTAAATTTGAGAGAACTTAGGCTATGAACGTAAATTTGTATGATCTCTACTTCTTTTCCGTAAAAATAATTTGTAGATTTAATAATTATTTATGGGATTAAAAACTTAAAGTTCAGGATAAATCAAATCAATCTCCCGTACTCAACTAGGGACTTTTATTAGATTATTATTATTTTATTAATATTCTATATAATATTTAGTGGGGATTGAATATCAAAATTTTCAAACCTCACTTTGAATTGTTTTGATTTGATGCGTCGTCATTTATTTTGATATAATATGACTACACAGAATCGATATTATCTAATGTGATTAACATGACCAATAATCGCTGTGATTCCAAATTTCTCTTTAGTCTTTTTCATACTAGATTTCAATCATATTATATAAAATGTGATACTTTTCATAATAATTTTGAACAATATAAAATATAAATTGGTTGTTGGTTGCTTAATAGCAACATTAAATTAGATTATTCCCTATTTATCTTTATGTTTTTTTTTAACAACCATGATTCCACACGAAACCGGAATTGTATTATCAAAAAATTTTTGATACGAAAAGTCATTGGAAGTCAATTTCCTTTTCCAAATGGTTTGATACAAAAGCATCATTTATAACAAGCTTCCCTTTATCTCAAAATAAATTAATTAATTAAATTAAATGTAGCTTTTCTTAGATATCCAAAAATTTGAGAGATCAAAAGACCATTGATTAATTTTCTTTATGATTAATGAAAATTCATTTTATTTTGTCCACCATCCCCTTCAATTTCTTGAGATGTGATGGATTAATGCATGAGTCATTTTAATTGATAAAATTGTATAATCTAATGGATCAAGAAAAATCAAGATATAACCCAAAAAAAAAAGATATATATATATAAAATTTGGTGTATAACAGGTTAACCAATAAACTTCAATTGAATCAAACTACTCATCATGAGTTGAAATATCTTATTTCAATTTCATTGTTAGCTTTGTCAGGAAAAAAAGTGTTAAAAAATTCAATGTAATCTTCATAATTTTTCCCTATTTAAACTCTGTAATTTTGTACATTACTTTTATAAGCATATCATATAAACAATATGTTTATAACGAAGCTTCAAAAATATTCTATTTTTATTTCTAAACTATACAATAAAAACGTTCCAGTGTTCTTATTGCTAATTTTTATTAATAAATGGTTCAAAATAAATCTAAATCTATTTGTGTGTAAACATCTACTCATACATGTAAATGAACAAAAACACGTACCTAACTATGTTTACATTTTTTTTTTGGGAAATCCAACTATATTTACATTTAACACTTAACAAAATATATATATATATATATATATATATATATATATATATACACTAACAATGATTAAAATAGTCCTAAATGTAATTTTAATATAAAATGTTTACTTAAAATTATTCTTTCAAATTAAATATTCAAAAAAATTTATGTTATATTTATTTTTCGATATGTATTATGCACGTTATAAGTCAAAAATAATAATATCATGTTTTCATAGGAAAGAACGAAAAATGAGAAACGGATACGAAACACTTATATTTTTAAAAAATGAAAAAAAGATAATCGAAGGCATTACCAACCATGCCCTAAAAACCGTTTTAAACCTAATCAATAATATAAAAATTAAATCACACGTATTTCTCAAATAAACAAGGGCAAAATTGATCCAATGAAAGATTGACAGGTAGAGAGAATAGGAGTACGTGGTAATAAATAATTGGTGGTCCACCAAAGTCTTTTAATTTGATTGAGAATTAAAACATAGCACTCATTAATTGGCCAATCATTTTCTTTCCGGACATTATAGGCCCCCCCTCATATAGACTAGTACTTGTCATCAAACATATATATTTATATATTATATAGTTTTTATACCTTTCAAAAACTATACATCTATTCTTATTATTAAATAAAAAAAAATTATAGCCATTTCAATTTTATATCGTATATTCAACTAAATATTATATAATTAAGCTTGAGGCATGATTGGACTCTTTTCTAAATAGAAACAATCCAATATATGATTAGAAAGTTTAGAATATTGTTCAAAAATGTATGATTTCATTAATTTTGTTGAATAAGAGAGTAATCTTTTTCTATTGTTGAGAATAACAAACGAATAAATTTTTATGTTCTATGCCCTCGAAAAATTATGAAGTTGTTTAATGAGAGTATTGTAAAATTTATAAATTTTTGAAAAATACCCACTTGGCAATGGGTCATTTTGAGGAAAGATGTCATCAAAGTTGTCTTTAAATGGGCTAATATCCAAAATTCTACCCTCTATGTTATTCTTTTTAGATTAATCCATAATTTGATTAATTATATAGGAAATGTAATCTAAAGGCTTAGATACTGTGTTAATTTTATTTTCCAAGTGGATGGGTGGCAAATAATTAAGCGAGTATGATTTACGACCCTTGTTATTTTATTAATATTACGAAAATGCCAAACTGGAAATACGTGTCGAAAGGTGATTGGATGTTGATGTTTGTTGCAGCCTGTTCTGCACCCATGTGATTATTCCCCATGCTCGTGTCCCAACGCAGATCCTCCGTATCCATGAGTGGAGCCCGCCTTTTCACCCCCGCTTTAACACAGTTTCCTCGACCTCACACGTGTCTCCTTCAATCCCTGCACGTGAAAGGCCACGTGTCAGCACAGACGCTCAACTAAACAAAAAAATAAAAATCTGAATGATATTTTCTCTGTTTTTTTTTATTTTTATAAAATCCTAATTATATTTTCATCCATTAATATCATATTTATTTTAGAACAAAATTAATAAGAGCTCTTATACCATCGTAGAAGTAAGTTTCTTCCACTTTGATATATTTTATCTTAATTTATAAACTTAATAATATATTTCTGTTAATAAATATGGTTTTTTATTTAAACCAAAGACTATTTGTGCTTTAACCCACTAAATTTTTTTAATGATTTATTTTAATTTTGCATAAAAAAAACCTTAGTTTATTTTGTTTAACAAAATATTAAGTTTAAAAATGAAGCTCTAACACCTAAATTATTGATTAGTTATACGTAGTTATACATACATTATATCAAATTTTTTAATTAAAAAAACAGTGAATATTAAAATAAAATTTCTTTTAAAATTAATAACCATGATCATGAGACGATGTTATATATATTAATATTTGAAAATTGAAGAAAAAGAAAAAAAGTAATTAAAAAGAATAACATCTAAGTGTTTACCAACAAGTAGGAAACCATAAAAAAAATTGRCAACTATTTATTCTATGGATAAAACTTTGGTGCTTAACGGTAGATATCTATTAAAAAAATTGACATCTATTTATGCTATTCTCTTACTTCTTTTACGCATTATTCTTTTTTACCATACTCTATTTGTTCACACTCTAGTTTTATTTTTGTAAATATTTTTTAATACCAACGAACCCCACATCATTTCTATTTACATGGTCAATGTACCACTCTCGTGTAGTACCATAAATTTTCTYAGTAAAACACCTAAGAAAGTTTTGTTTCCTTCTAGAAAATTATATCAAACATCTATTTATAAAAAAGAATTATTATTATTTATTTATTAAATGTCACATAAGTGAGTTTTCGTTTTCCATTTGTGCYATTTTTTTTTTCTCTAAGTTTTATCTATTCTACACATATCAGTTAGTGTCAATTTTTGAACGGTGTGATAGGTAAAAAATACCTCCAACGTCTAAATATTATATTATTATATTAATTTTTCAAAACGAAAAGCATAGAGTGGTTGTTGTTGCTGGTTGGTTGTCTTATAAATGAAGAACCTGCACGTTATATTCTAGACATAAAAGAGCGACAAGAGGCGTAGTCACTCACTCACTCAGCCCCCC